CTATGCTGATCTTCACAATCCATCAAAGTCTGCTTTTCCATTTATGGATCCATTTTGGGATGTAGAAGGATATGTGTCTTTAAGTCAAGCTTCTACGTCATCGTAACGCTTTTCATTTCCTTCTTGTGCGTATGTGTGTGATGCATACGATAAATTTATTTTAAAAAATATATATGTATCAGTAAGCAATGGTTTCTGATATGGAATTTTCTAGTCAAACCGGTAAATTGTCTTGGTCACTTATGCTGTAAGCTGGCGGTGATTGTCTGATGACGGGCAATAAATAATGCAGCAAGTGGTTGTGTGTATATATCGACTTGCAGTGAAAATAAGTCTGCATAGAAACTACTTTTCAAGTATCTGAATTCACTACTGTCTCAATGTGTCCTATGCATAAAGGCAAATTTCAGCAATGTATACTTCTATATTAGATTAGTTTACTGAATATAGATGGCCTGGGAAGATACTTTATTTGTCTTCTAGTGTTTAGAGCGTAGTTTGTCGTTCAGATATGTAACAATTCTATGCAGAATCAACATATAACCGGCGACGCAATACTTTTACGGTGTGTGTGGAAAATACTTTTATGAATTGAATCAAGTGACAGGTGAAGGGAATTGTAAAAAATAAGTAGTGTCAGTAGACTGACATAGTTATAAAGCAATAGTTAGTACTCCGAAAGTCTTGGAATAAATATCACGAGGTTATTGTGTGATACGTCAAGTGTATTTTTCTTGTTTCATTGAGATGTGACCTTCATAAATGTAATAGATCGCATTTTGGAGACTTCCTAACGTTTCTCCCGCAGAAAGGTATCAAGTGTAAACTATAGAGGCTTCAAGGGTTTCCAGCTTAAACCTAAATGATGCTGTACAAACGTATATATATATATATACGCAATGACACTGAGCTACTGTTATATTTGGCATAAAGAAGTCTCATTCTAGTAACATTATCAAAAGTGTTAACAACGAGTAGAGACATCGCATAATCATTTGTAACGCTTCTGTTAGTTGAAAACTTTGGAGATATTTCCCACGAATATATCTGTGCAATTTAGGACACTACTTACCGATGACAGTTTACGTGTAACACATTACTCATTTATAAAAGCTTTACGTGACAGCTGGAAGAAACCACCCTTCCTCGCTTCGAGTTATTGAAGTAAAAAGCGGTTTAGCAACTCAGCCGGTGAGCTACCGACTCGAAATTTCATCTATAATCACAAGAAGATACAATTATAGGTTTGCGTGCTTGTTACCAAGGTCATACCGATGACAGAAACAGTATATCCGTGAAAAATGAAGCTTTTTGATATATATCAGAGTTCTTTACAAACGTTCTTACCGTGTTTCATAATGAGAAGTGTTTAAACTGTGTTTTTTTCATGAATGGAGTACCAAGCACTGTTCACACCTACAATCAAATGGTGCTGATCAAGGAATGGTAAATTTCTGTTCACTAGAACAATTGTGTTCATGAGATTTCATGAAACATTCAAACCTTTAGAGTGAGGCATCACCATCATCTTTCCCCCGGTCGATAGATGCTACCTTGACGTGGTGGTCGGGCTTGCATATCGCAATGACCCAACGAGCTACACTGGCTGGAACTTATGTTCCTGTAGGTCCTACCATGCCAGAAAGGTTGTTTGGATAGTGGTTAGACAAAAAGCAGCTACCCAACCCAATACTATGATTCAAACAAATTCACAAAATATCATGCCGGATCGGTCGGGGCCCGGATTAACAACGACCGCGCTTCCTGCTGCCATGTCACAGGGCAGAAGTGATAAATATGCTACTAAGACACACCAGACAAAAACAGGCCACGTGTGACCGGCCTCAAGCAGTTGTTCTCTGGGCTCTGCGGTCACGCAACACTCTTTCTGTTTCAGGTTCCCGAAGAATCAATCAACTTTCACGGTGTGGGCAGCCGGGAAGTAACAACCGCCCACACACTTCCAAAAGCACACGAAGCCTTCTTGAGCATCACTTCCCTTACTCACATCACCTTCCTCATCTTGCTTCTCTACGACAGTTAGCACTATTCTTCAGGCTAGTGAGGCATCTTCACTTCACTCTGTGTCCATCAACAAAGGTGAGAGCCATGGAAGCACCCCAGATAACCTTTTAAAGCCACGTCGCCAACTTCATATAGGAGCTTTTAACGTCAGGACTAGGCCAAATCGGACAACAGACATCACTAGCAAGAACTCTGGCATCTCAAGCCATGGATGTATGTTGTGTTTCGGAGACACGCATACAAGAACCGAGTGTAGTCATTCACTTGACCTCACCCGGTCAACAAGGTGAATCTGCAAAATTCACTTCAAGGGTGTCGGGAGACCCCTCAGCTAGCTCACGAGGACTCGCAGGTGTAGGGATAGGACTGAGTGTTAGGGCGGAAAAATCACTTCTTGACTGAATCCCAGTAGATAGTCGTATGTGTGCGGTCCGTTAAAAGAAGGAAAGACGGCGCTACCCGTCATTGCCTTTTCGTAGTCTCCGCTTACGCCCCAACACACTGCAGTTCGGATGAATTAAAAGATGACTTCTACCTGAAACTGTTCAATTTGCTGCAAAAAGCAAGACGTTCAGACATAGTTGTTTTAGCAGGCGACTTCAATACCCAAGTAGGGAAGTTGTGCCAGACTGAGAAGTATGTAGGTGGTACGTATGGAGTTCTCTGCCGACGAACCGACAACGGTGATCGTTTTCTACAGTTCTGATCAGATAATCAAATGTTACTAGTCAGCACTAACTTTAGGCACAAAAAAAGACATTGTGTAACCTGGCGACCTCCATCACCAAATCAACTCTGGACTCAGATAGACCACATAGCCATAGGGTATCGTTGGCGAGGCTTAGTAGAAGACTGTCGCTCCTTCTGGAACACGTGCGTAGACTCTGATCACGCTCTGGCTCGCGCAGGTTTATGCTTACGACTAAATGGACATGATAAATTGACGGCAGCGAAACAGTTACGTCCCCAAATAGATCGAGACACTCAGTCCTTATTTAAGGAAGAAATAGCGAGGTTGACAGCAGGACTTCCCCCGAGGTAGCCTGGCACAACATACAGTTAGCTGTAGACACAGCTGTGAAAGCTGTTAATAAGCTAAAACCTAAAGTTAGTAAAAGCCATTGGATCTATGCCGCCTGATCCGAAATGATTGACGCAAGAAGCCTGATTCCAGCGAGTTCCGATTATGATGAGGAGCGAAAGGTGCTTAAACGAAAACTAACAAAAAGTCTTCGCAACGACCGTGAACAGTGATGGGCGACAAAAGCGAAAGAGATGGAAAAGGCATCGGCGATTGGCAACACCAGACAACTATTCAGGCTTATCAGGGAAACAGGTGGCAAAAGGCAAATGATAAGTGAAACAATCTTGGAGAAAAATGGCACCATAATTAGCTCCCAGGACAGACGACTGGAACGCTGGAAAGAACACTATGAGGAGTAGTTAAATTGGCCTAGAGCCACACTTAACCTGCCGAACATCCAGCACCTCCCTGAATGGGAGATATATACGAGAATGCCCATTATCCCCATTTCTATTCAACTTCATCATAGATGTGCTAATGGACTTAGCCCTAACTCACTTCAGAGATTAAGGGATTGACTTGCTACCAGGGAATAAGCTAGTTGACTTAGAATATGCAGACGATATAGTCCTACTAGGCGAGGACGCTGAAAAAATGCAGAGTCTTCTGAACACCTTGAGCAACAATCTTCGTATGTTTGGCATGCGATTCGCCCCTGTAAAATGTAAGATGATGCTGCAGGATTGGACCTCATCGACCCCTAGATTAGAAATAGGAAGTGAAGTGGTAGAGCACGTTGACCGCTTCACTTACTTGGGAAGTACCATCAGCCCCAACGGGTTGATCGCTGACGAAATTTCAGCACGAATACAGAGGGCTAGGTTCGCATTCGCCAGTTTTCGCCGTTTCTGGCGTAGACGCGATATCCGACTATCGACCAAAGGGCGTGTGTACTGCTCAGCAGTCCGCTCCGTCCTCCTTTATGGATGTGAGACGTGGCCATTGAGAGTGGAAGACATGAAAAGATTATCTGTGTTCGATCATAGGTGTCTGCGCTGTATCTCCCGCGTGAAGTGGTATAATAAGGTGAGCAATATTGAGGTTAGGCGTCGAGTGCTAGGTAAGGTGGGGAAATCAGTCGACGAGACTGTGAAATTACATCGACTGAGATGGTTAGCACATGTGTTACCTATGCCTAGTCATCGATCGCCTTTCTCGACGTGCAATGCTAGCTGATATAGGGTCAGGCTGGAAAAGAGCTAGCGGCGGTCAGACCAAAACATTGCACCAGTCAATGAAATCTACAACAGTTATTCTAAGCCACGTAGGAAGGTGTAGACTTCCTGGTTGGGGTCCTCGGGACGGTAAAAACCAATGGTTGGAAACAATTGGTGACATGGCTCAAAATCGTTCTCAGTGGCGCAGATGTATCCACTCTTTGTGACTTATGATTTCCAATGAAACTGTTTTGTTCTTCATTATTACTATACCTTTGTCTCACACCTCTGTTTACTGTCTATATTATGCATTTCTTCTACTTTCTTCTCTTGCTTTGCGTGCTACATGGATTGTGGCGACTTGAACTGCCGCACATATGTGCAAAGTTCTATGTCGAAAACAGACAAACAGATCATCTTTCCCGCATGTTCGGTGAACTTGTCAACTACGCACTGCTTTATTTCTCTTATATTCGGTAACATTCATATTTAAAATCTAGACGTTTCACATAACAATGTGTCTGTTAATCTAATTGAGAACACGCAGTCCCACTGCTAAGGGGAATAGTTAGTTATCATCTTCATTGCCAATAACACACATCAAAATGCTGTTTTTTTTATATATATTATGTGAAGTACTTTTTTGCACCTAAGTGCATTTTGGAAGAAACGTCAACTAAAGATACAATAAATGAGATCATACAATTTATATATATATATATATATATATATATAGAGAGAGAGAGAGAGAGAGAGAGAAAAGAGAGTTCAATCAAATAAAATTTTGAATACATCCCAGAGTGAGCATCTAACACATACATGTACAGGATTTATAAGGGGGGGAAGCGGAGGATAAGAAGTGAAGAGTGACAATATGCTACATAAATAAGTTATTCAGGGTGTGGAATTTTAAAAAAAAAGTGATTGTGTATCTGAAAATCAAGATTGAGATCAGTTATCAGTCTTATTTTAATAAAACACAGTCGGCATTCTTTAAAGCGCAGGAGGCTGCCTCTATGTATGCTAATGCAGAAATATGATTGGGATTTTTACGATGACTGACATTACGCTTGTAATGACGATCCAAGAGATACATATTTATTTTGTTGTTGTTGTTGAAAATAACAGGTGTAAATGTTCGGATATACACACATGAAAATTGAACAAAATAACTGAGAAATGAGTAAATGAAACAACAAACGGTAGTAGTAGTAGTAGTAGTGGTGATAAGTATCAATTTCCATGTTATTTACAACAGTGATGCATTTATTATGCATATTAGTGAATAGTAATAATAAATTAACTCACTAGTTAAGTTAACAAAACATATAAGGACAATAAGAACAAACAATCGTATTCATAAAAATCATCAGAAGCATAAATTAACAGAATAAAGAGGCCATTGATATGAAGAATGATTTCTAATAAATAATTATTGACTATATATATATATTATATATATATATCCAACTGTAATGACAATAAATAACACAACGGTAAATACTTTAACGAGGATATAAAAGATCTGTTCATGATGAAAACAATGGATTAAATATCTATATATATTAGATATTAATTGCTCAATGAAATATATATTATCAAATCATAATATAAAACTTTGGTTCTTTAAAACAATCAATATTATTGATAGTGTAAAAAGAAAACTGTGTAATAGTGTAGTGGCGATGATATTATGATATCACTCTCAGTAGGATTTCAGTTATAAAATACTGACAGAAGTCGTTGAAAAAAGAGGAGGAGGAGGAAGAGGAAGAGGAGAAAAAAATGTGGACTAGATCTGCGCGTTTTCCTGGACAATGGTCAAACATAACCAACTAGTAAAGTGTATTAAAGAGACAACCTGACAGAGGAATGTACAAACTGGATGGGAAGAAAAGCTGAAAGAGATCATAACTTTTAGAAAGTATCAAAATGTTTTGGTTAGTGTTTCCAAGATTTGTTATTATTTGAAAGATCATCATTGGTTGAAGTGAGGTCTGTGAAACAAGAATTATTTAAAGACATTAGGTTTTCTGGTTTACTTAGCGTACGTAAATTACCGTTGGTGTCATCGTGTCGTTTCTCATTAAGATCATTGGTGAAAGTATCAGTTTCATCACTGGTGCATCGGTTCCTGTATGAATTAGACAGAAGTGGTGTTGGCATTAGTTCTAACTCTACTAGAAGAGCAAAGTGATCAGATGGTATATGAACGTGTGGACAACCAAGTATTTTCTTTTCTTGAAACCATGGTTCACATATTTGATCCAGACTGCCCAAAAGTCGGAAGTGTTGTCGAGTAAAGAGAACATAATCTATCATCCCTTTGAAGTCATACCTAAATAAGAAATAGTTAGTGTAATCTTCAAAAGAAAAAAAGAACGATGCGTCGTAATTACAAACTAAGGTGGGTTTTTCGTGCGAGGTGATTCTGTCATAAAATATTACTCAACGTAGTGTCTCCTCCTGTGAATTATAATATTCCGCTTGCTTGAATTCATTAATTATGAATGCATTTTTTTCCCGGAAACCAACAAAGATGATATTTTTACACATCTGCAGAGGAAAGTGTTCGCTTATTCTTGAAAACACACTGCTCTTATTTTTTGCAAAATATGGCAGTGGAGAATTAAGCAGCTAAAGGTCACACATACCGCATTGATAAAGGCTGAAAGCCCTCTAGCTGTACGTCACAATATCTTAGAAACTGTCAACTTCGAATGTTTCACGACAGTTAGCAAGGAAACCTTGTGTTCAAGAGAATTATTCCCCACTGAGAGGTTTGAACCCTCATCATTAAAAAGCTATGTGTGTTGAAAAGTAGGGTAAGCAACCTCTTGTAGGTTAAATATACTGTCAAGCTTTCTGAAGTGACTGCTAGGGTTAGACCAACTGACTTCACTTCAATGGATATTGAGTAGTTGTAAGCTATGCACCTATTGAAATGACAAAAGCTTTTGAAATATGGTCGCATCATCTCATTCAGTTTAATGGATACAGTATGAAACTCGTAATCTTAAATAATGTCACTAGTTCATTTACAAAATGCATCACATAGTGATATACAGTATTAAGCGCTAAATGATATGCCGAACACTATTCATTGTTCATAATCTGCAGTAGTAGACGGTAGATAAATAAATAAGTAAATGGTCATGATTCAGTGACCGTCTTTTATTCAATAATTTATGGGTAAAGAAAAAAAAGTATTTTAACATTTATTATTTTAGCGAAAATAAATAAAATGAAATATTTAAGAAGTTAACCTTTATTATCAATTTAACTGTATGAATTACCCTCAATATGGAGAGTTTAAAGAGGTTTACAGCTTAATAGTATTTGGACACACAATAGGAAACGAAATATACGCACGGATAGACAAAAGTAAGTAAAGAAAAAGTTAAGCAAACGTGATACTTACGTGAAATTTGTCAAGCACATGCCCTCAGAATCCTGATAAGCACGATCAAAGGTGAAACGATGCCTTAGAGAATTGCCATCTATAGCCCACTTCTCTAAAAGTCTCCAATCTTTAAACATATACTTATAACCATTGTTGAGAAAATCACTGTGCGTCAATGATACACTACCTTTAGTAAGAAATTCTATTACTCCAGATTCAGGTAATGAATTGAGATCACCACACAATATCACAGGCATATTAATAGCTGGTGAAAAAGGACCCGGTAGGGCTATTTTAGATGACAGAGGAACAGAACGCGACAATGTTGGTGATAATTGTTTCGCCACGCTTCTAGATGTTTTAAGAAATCTATCAATGTACGCCCATAATTCCGCTGTCCACAAAATCGTTTGAATCACTTTTACATCGGAGTGTTCAGGATCCCAATGAATGTGACCAGTTGTAACACAGAACTGACGTCCTCCAGTACCATCTGAAGTTAAATAGAAATGAATGATTGGTCATAAAACATAGCTTTAATATTCAAGTATTGGTTTGTAGTGATTTAACTGATTGGTTACAGGATTTCACTATGAGCTGACATTGACTAGACAACCATTGGAAAACCGTCCTAGTACGGGACTCTTCATCAGAGCGCACCCACCGGGGTTCGAGCCCAGGGCCTTGTGGTTACGAGTCCCAGTGGCTTAATGGTGTACGAGCTCGTCTCGTAACCAGAAGATCCTGGGTTCGAACTCCCGGGGTTGTGTATCGGTGAAGAGTCCCGAACTAGGACGAAACAGCTGTCCAGTACTCCCAGCCGGTTTTCCAATGGTTCTCTAACCGATGTCAACTCATGATGAAATCCTGTAACCAATAACTTTAATAGTTTAAACCACAGAAGCAGCAATTCTATGAACAATTTAATATATAAGACAACTTAAAGTACAAACCATTGGGAGAGTATCTGACTGAGAATGAAACACTTACATTTTTGGAATCATTCTTGTACAGTTGAATATTAACTCAAGAGCAGACTTAAATGTTTCTACAGCCATCATTCAACTTATTTATCTTTTAAGAAAATGAAGAATTTATCTAATCTTTCTTTGATGTGAAGAATATATGAATGACAGTTTGTATAATCTAAGTCGGCTATGACAATTAAATCACTAACAGTGACAATGGATGAGTGATGATACAACAACAACGCACACTAACAACGTTCCTAGTCGTAGCGGCATACTTCGTCGCTATGCTCACCTAATGATATAAATAATTTTTTTACATATTTGACATTAACATATATGGATTGGGAAATTCTTTATGAGGTTTTTTACTGGGGAAGGCGCTTCAGAGTTCTTTCTGGCCTGTAGCAGTAAATGTTGCTTGATAGCCATTACTAGACAGTAGATTTCAAAGTTATATATATATACATATAATTGCTTTTTCATGATTCACGTTGGAATATGTCATCTGTTGCTTCAGATATCCTTCGATCCACTCGCATCCTAGTGATGCTCAACCACAATGGTATATTTCTGGGGATGTGCTATATCATCACTCATATTGAACTTACTGGAAATGATGTATTAAGATGTTTTATTTCTTTTTATTCCTTTACATTCCCAGTGGAATACAGAACTTTGAAGTCTTAATAACTGTAGTTTTATATTTTTGCGAGGTGGGGTTGTTAACCCCACACCCAACCTTCCCCTTTACCGGCGCCTTACTACTGGCTAAACTAGGTAAAGGAGTGCATCGACCAGGGATCGAACCCTTAAACAAATGCGTGGTTGGCGAGCATTTTACCACTGAATCACCGACACCCGATGTATTGAGAACATTTGTTTTCGTCCATTATTCTAGCTGCTGTTGACTTTATGAAGAGAATACGCGGTATGCGATGTGTTAGCAATGTTTCCAAAATTAAAATGATACAAAACAATAACGAAATTAAGTTACAAAAACAGACAGATAACTTGGTAGAGAGAAATTCTGCATACCAAAAGCTCCCTTAGTTTCAAAAATTACGCCCACTGCAACATTATCACGTGCGCCAACACGATTCAGCATAGTTGGTGAAGGATTTTCACACATACTTGTGCACGAAAGCATGAATTCATGGTGAAATTCATGCAGCTTTTCAAACCTGATAAAAAAAATATTTTAAAAAACAAATGTAACTGGAAGACAAGTTATTACTCACAATAAAACCATAGTATATCTGGTTGGCGATAAAAAGGCAAATTATTTCCTATCAGTAATAATAGAGATTCACTAAGCTAAGTTCACTATTTCCATTAACTTTATTATTATGACGACACCAATATGAAAAACGACTCAGGTTTAACATAACAGTTATGCAACTACACGAGTGAGTCAATGGTTCAGCTGCAGGAGTGCTGACTGACCATGCACGTGGCTCGGGGTTTGAGTCCCGACCAGTGCACACCTTTCCCATCTATAGCCAGTTATAATCAGGACAAAGAGGGAAGTTCGGGCGTGAGGCTAGCAACCCCACCCCGTAAAAATAAAACACCACTGCCACTGGAATTTCAAAGCTCTAGTTTGAAGCCCTATGTTCCACACGGGACGCAAAGGAATAAAAAAAACTACACAATGGTAAAATCTTGTATTACTTAAATTATTACCACATTCAGCAGAATGAACAGAAAACTCGTAACAGAAAAGAAAAGTATCGGTACGACAAATCATTTTCAATAGTTATATAATTGTATTTACGTTCAAAAGAGAATTCATATTATAACAAACTGGATACTGATAATTGTGTTCTAGAAAATGTTTCACGGATTGTGAGGAATAATGTAGAATGGAATGTGTGTACAGGCAGCTGGAGATCAAAAGTCGAAAGTCAGTATTACACAATAATAGTGCAAGAATGACGTCCTACTCAGTCTAAATTAATAAAAGTCAGTGGAAATACGGTAATGTTTAAATAAAAATCTGAATGGGGAATGCAATGTTACTGAAAAATAATGATCATGAATTAAAATATTAATGGCAAGAGTCTCGTATCGCATGTTAAACATACAAAGATTTCTGCTTAAGCCATTCAGAATACTCTGTATTTTGCCAGTGTGTGTTCGCCTAGAAGGACCATACCATCTGTAGACTAAATTGACGAGACTCTACTCTGGTAAAACAGTAGTCCGTAAGTCGTTCAATAGATTAAAGTTACATCCATTAGTACATCTATGATGAATTTAAGCGAAAATGAAGACTGTACATTCCTGATGGACAATACTGGTTGTCACTAATTCAAATGACAACCCTCTGTAAGCTCTTACACGGTTGAGTGAGTTTTTTGATTAGTACGATATACTTTCTAGGCATTGCCTTCACGGTCAAACATTGCCGCACCATATCCCCTTCGACGGGAGTGAATATCGCCTTCAGGTCAAAAAACACAATTGTTTGGCTCCGGTAAGTATGCTGATGTTCAAGAATCTATCAAAGGATGAAGATAAGCATCCTTACCACTAATGTTTTATTACTAATAACCATTATTTTTCAGTAACATTGCATTCCCCATTCAGATTTTTATTTAAACATTACCGTATTTCCACTGACTTTTATTAATTTAGACTGAGTAGGACGTCATTCTTGCACTATTATTGTGTAATACTGACTTTCGACTTTTGATCTCCAGCTGCCTGTACACACATTCCATTCTACATTATTCCTCACAATCCGTGAAACATTTTCTAGAACACAATTATCAGTATCCAATTGGTTGCAGTATGAATTCTCGACTATATAGGTTATTGAAAATGATTCATCGTATCGGTACTCTCCTTCGCTGTTAAACCTTCTCTTGATTTTGTTCAATTTCTTTTTGATGAATTTCACGGATTTTGATTTTTTTCAAATACATAAATAAGCTGTCAGAAATAAAATATACTTTAAACAAGAAGTCCTATGCTGCCGACCCTCATAAATCTTATTGAAAAAAAATGAATTTCAAGCAGTAAGGCAATTTACTACTTTGAGTGAACAATAGTCACTAGTGTAATGTGTCTAGTCTTATCTTCGGTGCAGACTGAATTCTACCAGTCAGGTTTGCAATGTGGCCAACATTCTAGGTAGCTTGCTATCAGGGTGCACATTGTTTTGATGATGTTAGATGGTTGGAGGCAATCGGCAGGAAGCTTTGGACCTAGGTTTCGTGCTAGTTGGCACTCATCAGTCAGCAAGGCGTATCTGCAACCTTGAAGGAACTCATTTCCCTTCTGAGATTCGGATCGGCGTCATCCAGTGCCGCCTACAGTCAGAGATGTTACCTATGAGCCATTCAGATTCGCGATTGACTTCCTGTAGGACTGCATTGGATATCTTGACTGGACACTAATAACTAGTGTGATGTGTCTAGTCCTTTCTCTGTTGCTCAGTGGTAAAATCTCTAACTGAAGGCGGCACTGGATGACGCCGATCCGAATCTCAGAAGGGAAATGAGTTCCTTCAAGGTTGCAGATACGCCTTGCTGACTGATGAGTGCCAACTAGCACGAAACCTAGGTCCAAGGCTTCCTGTCGATTGCCTCCAACCATCTAATATCGTCACGGCAATTTACTGTTAGTACCCACATATTGTTGTAAGACAGCAGTAGTATTTCAAAACTATGTATTATATAAACGTTAACTGTGTCATGTTCTCATCACACCAAATGAGTGTAGTTACAATTGAATTAAGTAAACGCATGTCTTTCTGCTGATGACTAGACTAGGTTACATATTCAAATGATTAATCGTTTAGACTAAACAAGACAAGTATAAACAATGAGAAAGGAATGTCAACATTTGAAAAAAACAGCACTCTCGAAACAATTATTAGGAGTTGTAAAATAACACGACAGTAGATTTCCTGAAAGATGATGAGGCATATATCCGGTCAGCTTTACTAAGTTTTCTGCTAAGAGAACACATCCTGTCAATAGCATCTGCGCTGAAAGAAAGGAGAGCCTGAATAGAACGGATAGATTTTATAAAAAGCCTTTTCGTAATCTGACAATCATAAAGCGCTCAGAACAGAATATGTGGAATTTGAAAAGATTAAAAGACGCAATAACTCTACAGCCTTTATTTGTTTGATATTTTAAAGAAGAATTTGAAATGTACGAGGGAAAACAACGATAAGGTGAACATGGGAACCGGCTTTTGATTATTGTAGCTGATTATATTATACATATAAGTCTTGTTCGAAAGACCATTGTCCATGATACCCGTTCGTTGACTGATTCATCAATCACAGTGGCATGTGCTTCACAGCATAGAGAATGCGCTTATTATTTTTGACGGTTGAAGTTTCATGCTAAAATTATTATTATTAAGAACTGAGAATATCGCTGGAATATGCTACACAGCTACATTCTTGGACAGCATGAGGTTAAGAATCCACGAGAAGAAACGGAACGCTTCTGTGCACCCAAACGATCATGCACTCAATAAGTAATACTGATATAAGAATACTGCTAATATTACTATTATACGGTTAACTGACAATCATTAGTTAAAGAAAAGTTATTAGTATTATTACGGCATTTCTGATAAAAATGCTAATATCATTGTTACAAATATATTATCGTCTGCAATAAAACTCACTTATCCGTCTGCCAAAATATAGCACATCCGTCGACCTTTTTACTCTCTTTTAACTCCATCGTCCGCCTTCTACTCTTTGGTAAAAATACAGCATCATAGTTCAACTTTTGTAACTCCGGTTTGAAAACCTCTTCAAACTGATCAGTTCGCAATTCCTATGAAGAAAAAAAGTAATAATAATGTGACATGTAACATCATTTTGCAATAAATAATGCCAAACAAACTTTCACAATACTACGGTGTTAAAAAACAGTTTGTTTTCTTGCATCGGTTGGTTGGTGAATGACCATCATTGCATAGTTGGCACAGGCCAAGTCACAGTTATGTAGGTGTTAAAACCCTCAGTGACCTAGTTATTATGCTTATAATTACAACTATAAGTAGGGGGGTATACCAGCAAAAGGCACGACGTTCCCTCTAACATTAGAATGTACTATTCATTATTTATAAAACTACTGATTCCCTCTTAAAAGGACTGGATTATGTACATGAATCGATTATTCAATAGAAACCAGTGACAATATCAACACCTATACATATGTCATTATGTTACCAGAGAACCAGTTTATGGACGTAGATTTAATTGTAGATGTATGACCATTTGTAATTTCAACAGCTTATTATAATAAGTTATTCTGACCTTACAGTCAAAAAAATGCAAACTTAAACTTACAAAGAAATATAAAGCTTTTTCAAGTGCTACTTGAAGAACACTTCACAAGAGTGACCAGTAAGACATAACTCCGTTTTCGATATTTACTGATGTCTAGAGAGAAAGAGCATCGGTAGTTCAGCGGTAGAATGCTCGCCAACCACGCATGTGGTTCGGAGTTCGATCCCCGACCACCGACGCACTCCTAGACCTCTCTAAGCCCGATAGTAAGGCAGGTAAAGAGGGAAGGCTGGCCGTGAGACCAGCAACCCCTCCCCGTAAACATAAAACACCACTGCTACCGAAACTTTAAAACCCTAGCTTGAAGCCCTATGTTCCAGTGGGAACGTAAAAAAAGAAAAAGAAAAGTAATAAAAAAGAGAAAAACAAGAAGCTTATAAATAATTTAAACAATGTGAAAGTAATTAACACAAACGAGTACTCAAAAAAATTGTTGTACTAAGGCAAAAATTTTTTCGCTAATGTACATCAGTATCAATCAGTTGCAATAATAATATATATAGAATCACGTTTTATATAGTTGATGTCCCTGAACATAAGTGTACATAGAGTGTGTAAAAAAAGTGGATAGGAGAGCAGAAAGAAACAGAGTGAATAAGTGTCAGTGAAAACCTCTGATCACTGGGCGTTTTAGCCTACCAAAGCTTCTTAACACATAATTTACATTAACAATAAGATGTTTCTCATGTTTGTTTATCACAACATAAGCTGAAATAATTATCTACTTGAACAAGTAAGGTAAAGAAATGGAATGCAGTTCAAGTGAACATTAGTTAAAAGGATGATAAGATTTTAACATATATATATAAAAAGGAGAGAGAGAGAGAGGAAATACTAGTACATTAATTTGAAAAAAACAATGGATAACAGTACCAAGGTGTAAGCAGAAATTCAACAGAACAAACTTCCTCGTCAAAACACGATAAACGATAGAAGAAATCACATGAAGTTGTAACATCAGAGAAATGGAAGAATTTAGTTATCACTATGGTATGCACGAAATGAAGAGTAACACCGAAGGAAACAGGACACGAGTAGTTGTTTGTGCAAACTATATTACTAACACAAGATTACTGAAATGTAAAAGTAGAATTTTAGCACTGTGGTAGAATATACCTCCACTCCATATCAGACAAGTTTATTCGATGTAACACACCATGATACACTACTAACAACTAAATGATAATAACAATAATAGCTTTATTCTAAGCAGTACTTTTGGTACAATATGGAATTTTCAGCATGTAGTACAGTATTGAATCTAACTTTCTCACTACAGGTATAAAAATGAAAAAATGGCGTTTACGCTGATAATATTATTCAATTGGTAATTTTCGTGCGTCGGTGGCACAGCGGTCAGGACGCTCGCCGACCATGCGCACATGGTCTGGGGTTCGATACCCGGCCGACGCACTCCTTTATCTCGCTAAGCCAGAAATAAAGTTGGTAAAGAGGCAAGGTTGGGCATAAGGTTAGCAACCCCATCCTGTAAAAATAAACACTGCTACAGAAACTCCAAGCCACTAGCTTGAAACCCTATGTTCCACTGGGAACGTGAAGGAATAAAAACAAATTTTCTGCCTTACACCCTTTCTCATCACATAAAATGTGTGCCTGCCACAGAAGGTATTGTAGAGTTTCTATAATTAGTCGTCCTAGCATACAGTCTTCTATAGTTACTTCTAGTTTTACCTGATGAAATGCATGAAGAAAGTTGTGCATAGAGAGGATGCTCAGAGTCTGACAAGATAATATTTGCTAATTTCTTGCAGAAATCCAAATGTCTATCTACAATAGTATTAACAGGCTGGTTTAGGAACAGCCCACTTACCATACTGAAAACTTTTAGTGCCTGCCCCTTCACAGTAAAACAAAGTCTTTCCTAAGTAGCCTAGGAAAGATTAATGGGGAGCAGTAAAGAAGGATAGGTGGAATACAATAATTAACAAACTTAGAAAGTAGAGACGGAATAATACCAAATCGTCTTAACTTCCTAACGTAGAACGTAAAACAAAACATGATGTGAGAAGACTAGGAAAGATCAGAGGATATACACAGTCCAAGGTACTTAACACCCAATTTAGTTCCAACTTCAGTGCCATCATATTGAAACCATGCGAACTTACCAGATCATGTAAGTAACGCTTGCATCTACAAGTGAAATTAACAACCTGACATTCGGAGGGACCATTTGACAAGGACCACTGACTAATTTCTGACAAAAAGTCATTCACCCATCAAGAAATTTAAATCATTTCACTTTGTGCTTAATATATCGCTGAAGATGTTGTCCAGAAGGACGACGAAAGCTCCGCAACTAAACCAACCAGCTCAGAGAACACTATTAATTGCAAAAAGTCATTCATTTTGGAACAGTCTGACTGAGAAGTAACGAACACAGAAACAATCAGATCATAGGCATACTTAACAAAATTGGTATCCAGCAAAAACTTTTCATTTTTAATCATACCGATATACTGAAACAACTTCCTGAGTTGTTTTATATTATATTATTCTTAGTATCTCTTGTCTCTTAATGTAATTTTTTATTTATCCAAGATAGGTTTGCGTCGTTCCCATTCGCGTGTATGTTGATGTTAATTCGATAAACAAATACATTTCCTAATCAACTTTTCTCTCCATATAACCGTATTAATTTTTAATATTTTTACCTCACCCTACACTATCGTGTGATTACATACGATTGCATACATAGCAACATTTACCGAGCTTTTTTCGAGATTATTTAACTTGGGCAGGTTAACCATACTAGATATAACTAAATTTCTATCCATCACAGTGCACATGCGAATTTGATTTAGAGTCACTAGGTTGCAAGTAAAAACAAAGTATATTTGACATCTAATAGCGGGAAATCTTGGCGACCTGTTTAGAACTTGGGCTACCAAAAAATTAGCTTATATTTTCTCCAGTTTCGGTTTGTTTTAATCGATTAAAACATAACCTCTAGTGGTATCATCTACTCTAATGTTTACGAGCACCTGATTCGCGAGTTCCTACTAAACTTGAGGAAAGGCCTGATTGTGGGTGGCAACGTGTTCCGATACATGAGATAATTGTTCTTCAGTTATTTCCCTCAGTCTAAAATTGTACTTCTGAACACCTTACAATTGGCTTTCAAACAGATATCTTGGATTTCTTGAAGGATACAGAGCAGATATATCATAATGGAATGGTTTGTGCTTCACCTCAGAGACCATTGTGTCACAGGATATACTGTTAATTAATATTTTACTTGAAGATATTGTACGAAGGGAAAATATCATGCAATAAACTCCTCTGAAAATTCCGTACTGTACAGAATAAAGATGTTATTATTATTTTTTTAAATAATAATTTTAAAAAATGCAAATGTATACACGTTTAACTTCAAAACCTACTCTCTACTTCAATCTACAATATAGTCTACATATAAGCATCAAGTAACACCTACTGGCAATAACTTCAGTACACAGTTCAAATAGATAGCTTAGAAATTTTTTCAATGCACTATTTGTTGTCAAAATATCTAAAGAAATATTACGTATACCATTGTGTGAACACGGCAACGAAATACGCTGCGTTGTCAGTAGGATGACCAATGAACTGGCTCTAAATTTCTATCCTCTGGTAAACTAACTAGCCTCAACCCACTATTAGTTTGACTCGCGTCACAAACCTCACTATCATTAATATGGTATTCGGTAACTAGATTTATTGGATCGTTTAACCGAAAAAGTTTATCTTTGGAAGAGTTAGCTGGTTTAAATGCCATCTTAATTTCAGCGTTATTAAGAATCCTAATGTCAAGCCTCTGATGTTCCTTCCTTATATGGTTATGTTATTTTTGTCTCATTACTACTTCTATTTGTCCTTATTAATGTTAATAAACAGCTATTAGGCTTTTATTATTGTTCCAGACCTAGCGCTTGAACCAACCACACAGCCACCGGCATACTCAGTATCTGTCAAATTACCTTTCACCAGCATATCAATATATCTGAGGCTATTACTGAGTTCAACTAGATTCTTTTTGTATCGCTATCATTTTAAACTTGTCCAAAAAGTCTCTAATTATTTTGTTTCGATGACATTGAACATATGATCTCATTTAGTAGACTGCAAAACATGACTTTTGTTGTAAATGTAAAACCACTGTAAAAAAAATCTTTTTATTCTGGTTCTCAAACAAGATATAAAAAACCAAACCACACACTCTGTCTTTAGCATAATGATGTACAACCTCACTATATTGATATACATTTGTGAATGAAACAGAACTTACACACACACATAAAAACACAGAATTCACATAAGTAGATAATTTCAGTATATTCATTACACTATTTCTAAAATCTACAATTCGCACAACTCAACAAATTTATGAACTGATGTCTAATTCTTTGTCATTCTCTCAAGCTATTGTTTTCAGCTGCCGCCTGCCTAGCTTCAGATCACAGAAACAAGCTCTATAGAACTGATGATTTCAGTAGACTAATAATGAAAGTTGGTCGGATATCTCAATCATGCAGGAACCTTGTGTAAGGTGAGATCAAGTGTTTAGACTGAATACCTATGAGTTGAATCCAACGGCTATATTCAATCACCATTAGCAACTGTAACAAAAGCGTATAATACGCATAGCTTCGGGATAAACAGGTATAAAAGTACAGAATTTAAATAGCATATAATGCATAGAGTTATGAGTTCCTTCAAGATTGCAGATATCCCTTGCTGACGAGTACCAACAAGCACATGACCTAGAGGTCCCAGACTTCCTGTCGATTGCCTCCATACATCTTATCAACAACTATACAGAAAATAATTTTATCAGTAACTAAATAAAACTTCCTTATTCTTTTGATGAACAAAGAACAAAACCTTTAACTAACCTGTAGACATATAATGTTTGCATGATATATGCGTATTTCATCAAGAATAGCTCTCCTCCGATAATCCCAGCTTAAAGCCCAAGAAGGACAGTATGGGTACATCATTGGTGTAGCATAGTTAGGACTCAGTAGATTGTAACACATTAGGGTAAATGCAACTAAGAAGCAAAACAACAACGATAGTAAACAAAAAGTATTAAGAAGTGGTGAAAAATATAGTAGTAGTAGTAACAATTAAAGGAAGAACAGAAAACCAAAATATTTACTGGTGCCTTAACAATGGTCATTTTGTTTAAGAAACGATAAAATGATCGTCTTTGAGTCTTCACAAGCTTCATTACATATTATTAAGGAAATATACCAGGGTTGAAAATGTGTGACAATATCACTAAAGCTGCATTTGATCAGTCAGGTATGTTTCGGCTAACTATCCGAGTTGACATCTCTTCAGTTCACAGTTTTGAATGCCATGTTTGGAATCTTTAAGTTAGTAAGGGCATTGTCAGAGGTGGTGGGCTTTATGTGTCAGTGACACAGCGGTAGAATGCTCGCCAACCAAGCATGTGGTTCGGGGTTCAATCTCCGGCCACCGATGCACTCCTACACCTCGCTAAGCTGGTAATAAGTCTAGTATAGATGGAAGGTTGGGTATGAGGCTAGCAACCCCATCTCGTAAAAATAAACAGCACTGCTGCCGAAAAGTAAAGGAATAAAAAAGGGCAACCAACCAAGTGACACATCTCACACCATCCAATAAAAGTTATCACTTTCAGATAATGTAACAACTTCAGTAAATAATTATTTTAGCTTATCGTCAAAACTAAATAATATGAATGACACTTTCACAATAGATAGGAACAGGAATGAAACTACTCATATCTTGATGAACAATTTAAAACCTCAAATCTATAGTGACAAAACCCACAAGAACTAAATAATGAATCAGAATAGCAACTATCCAATAGTACGCAAGGAAACTGTGTTGGAAATCCTGTTTGACACAGTTGAAACTCAATGTAACATTGAAAAGTTGAAAGCTGAAAAATTATTCCAATGAAATGGAGACTTAGAATGCTTCAACACAAATTGAGTCTGCATAAAACAGCCTAACAAAAGTCAATTAAACTGTGATAAATTCTTATATCAATATTATCCTGGAAGCCATTAGAGCATCTTTATCGAACTTAGAGACTGACAAACCAAAGAAGTCACTAAAAAAATTTTTTATGCGAAAGGAAAGATATAATAAGCAATTAAGTAAGAAAAATCCATATATATATATATATATATTGACATCGACCCGATTTAACACAAGAAACAAGGATAAGGTTTGAGTTCAGGTGGGCAGAATAGCCAGAGAAAATGTCAGCATACAGGTACATACATGATTTTGAGACAGGCAGTTACATCCAAAGTCGGCAAGCATAAGCTACTAAACCACACAAGGAGTAAATTTAAACAGGGAGAATGTTATAAGAGGAAGGCAATCAATCAATCAGCGACCAAAAATAAATATATACACTCCCAAAAAAGACAACTTCCTCCCTATAAGCTACACAAATACCCCTGATCATTAGTGAATAAATCATGCCAAATAATAGAAATTTAGTAGCTAACTACCAAGCAGTATGACAACAAAACTGATTCACGAGCAGTATGAACAACACGCAAAAGTTAAGAAGAAAATTCGCTGAAAGTGGTCACAAGCTAGATTTTAAAACTTCAGCATAAATAAATTCAAAAGCACAAGGGAATTCCGCTGGAAATGGGATGATAATTAACACAGGCATATAAAGTTGAATATACGAACAGCAATGAAAATCATTTTCATGAAAAACAGGCACCAAATGTAAACAAGTATCAAGTTTAAATAAAGATAATAATTGAAAGACAAGATAACTAACTAGTGATTACTGTCTTCAATAATGAAAACAACTCAAGAGGGGTAAGAGAAACAAGAGCCTAGTTATCAAATGATTCAAACAACCAACAATAGGATCAATCAATTTAGAACAGGAAGTCTATAGTGAGCAGTTAATGATGGTTGGTCTATTCACTGACCTCTGACAACAAGATCGTAATTGATCAATACACATCTATCAGTTGACAATGACAAACTCCAACACAAGAAAAAATTTACCACAGATGAAGCAGAACAGGTCTACTAGTCAATATACAACAAATATTTGAAGTTCATGGAAAATAATGACAAACACAAAGATCAGTGACAAAAAAGCAACTAATAATGGCCAAATAAACTCATAAATACCGATGAAAAAATTCACAATTCCCACCTACTTTCGAATTGCACTTAAAATGACGATTAGTCACACTATTTTGTTTCATTCTTTTGCGTTCCAGTTAGAAAATAGGGAACAAAGCTTGTGCTTTTGAAATTTCGGCAGCGGTTGTGTTTTCTAACCTCACCCAACCACACAACCTTCCCTTTTTAATGGGTTTAATATACCAGTTAGGAAGGTTCAACTTAACAGTGAGTCGGCCGGGAATCGAACACGAACCACATGCGTGGTTGACGAGTATTCTATCATTGGACCACCAACGCTACAATGATACATCCACCGATTGAGTGAATAATTATACACTGGTTTTCATGAAAACAGAATACAGTCATCCTAAACGGTTGCGAGACCAGAACAGCATCCTTTAGTCATTTGGGAGCATTACACCGATTTTCATTTTTTTCGTCTTTTCTAACTTTGAGTTAGGGGTATCACTGTTAATAGTCCCTAAAGTGATCGTTTAAATTAGCGTCTCGAGACTATTTATGTTATGGCTTGCGTTTACTTCTCCTTAGTTTTCTGAAAAGTGTTTTCAGTTGCTATATTCACATCATACATAAACAATGAAGAAACATTCAAGTGACATTACGCTGCAAGTCCTCGAATGGAACTCAACGACGAGTTGGGTATACGTGGACGAAAAGAGCAATCGCCGAATGAGGTCGAATGGCTGCAAAGAAACAATTGTAATAGAGCCGTACCACCGAAGCTCGATGTTCTACTGTCATTTTATTAGAATCTAGATAATTTATCAAGTCTAAGCTGAACTTGATGTAAGGAGATTTATTTTTGAAACAAAACCGTATTAACATAACTTTAACCACTGAACTATGAGCATTCTGTGATGACTGAAAGCCTTAACATACTCAACATGAACCCTGACGATACAAAACCATAGGAGTGCCTGTAGTTAGATAAAATGATGAACGCCTAAGTCATCTCTTGAGAGAGAATGAAAATGCTTTAACGTTTTTATCTATCGCATAAAAAAAGTGTGAGTTAGCTGATGACGAAAACTCCTAGAAAGTTATTCATGAGAGGTCAGCTTTTCAGTCAATAAAAACGATTATGCAGAGAATTCTTGCTAGAAACACGAATTCCAGACTAGTATAATCATGAAAGAGTTTTGAAAAAATGTAATGATAACTTACATCCATCCTTGCTTGGATCAGCCAATCTTCTCCATTGTCTTGGAGGAGGTGAGCTGTGAACATCTAAGTGATGTTTAAGACAAAGAAACAAATTAATGCTTTCAACACCAATCAATTAAAACACGTTAGGAAAACCAATAGAGACTTTCTTTTTCTTATTTTAAATCACATAGGTAGGTTGTACTATAAACTCACAAATCACAGGAAAAGAATAGAAATAGAAACTGATGAATACTGTGGAGTGTAAATAACATTCTCCTACATAAACAGTAATTATTTTATAAACACTATGACATATTACCACAGTGACCGCATTAAAACATAACAACCCACATGCATAGAAAGACATGATTTCAAGAACATACATAAATGATGTTGAAACAGTAAAAGGCGTTTCCCAACACAATGAGATCCACCTGCTAACACAACAGTCAATCCACCTAACGACGCTTAGTTTAAGCCAGTAAACTACTACACTATGGGATAAGCGTGTCCAATTTCAGGTTTGACCGGATTTTTAATTTACCTGTAAACTTGATAAATGACGTTTGCTGGAAGTTAGACATCTCAAATTTATTCTATTTGTTTGCTCTGAATACTATGCAGATTACACACACTTGCTTGCTTCTAGATGTTAGAATCAAGTCAGAGTGAACACGCAGCACCGCCGGCTTATTAAAGAGATAGTATTCGTTAAAGAATCCTTGAACAAAACACCAAATCAAACTGCATAGTGATAAAATCTGTAAGTATAAGCAGCTGACTACGCTACGATTGGAGGGTACACAAAGTTAAATATATAAACAAAATAGAAAATCTGTCAGAAATCATCCCCATGAAATTGTGCCTTCTAGCTTGAGATTTTTTATATGAGGATAATTTATATCCTAATATCTGGACAAATACAAAAAATATTCTCAAATTATTTGACAAAAGAATGTGAACGAAAACTAATCTTTTAAGCATCAAACTTTTCATAGCATAAAATAACAATTACAAATTTATTCAAGTATTGGTTTGTAGGGATTTGGTTGATTGGTTACAGGATTTCATCATGAGCTGACATTGGTTAGAGAACCATTGGGAAACCGGCTGGGAGTACTGAACAGCTGTTTCGTCCTAGTTTGTGATTCTTCAGCAGTACGCACCCAACAGGGTTCGAACCCAGGACCTTCTGGTTACAAGGCGAGCTCGTATACCATTAAGCCACTGGGACCCGATCCCATGGCCTATGAATTCTATCTTCTGCCAATTCACGATATAGCGCAACCGCTAGCCAATGTCTTCGGCGAGTATTTGTCCTCACACCCGACCTGCTGCACCCTACTGGTCACGACTTCCCACTGGAACAAATTTATTCTTCCTGACGGTATTCACTGTAGTTAAACAGATGAGATGATATATATGTAGTCAGATGTAACCATATGCTATGGTCAAAACTTTGTTTGTGTTTTTACAAGTTATAAATAAATACTGAAGTTAACAGATTCACTCAAATCACTTACAGTTTCTCAACTGATCATAAGGAACAAGACAGGTGCGCAAAGCATTGCATACATCACGGTTTCTAGGGAGGCGTATCGGTTCAGGAATATATACCCATTGAGGTGTGGACGCTAATGCCGAGCAAGCATACGATTTGAACAGGAGGTCATTTAATTTGTCACTGCATATGTAACTTTTCTTAGAGCAGACACGACACAATTCACCAGAATAACTGACTGCTGAATTACGAAACATACAGATATTCTTATTATGATTTTTCAGTGAATGTTTTAACTCACACGTTTTACACACATGACAGCGCCTAAATCCTGAGCAGTATTTTGGATGCAAATAATGACTACGACAAAACCTACAGGTACCATCACGTAAACCCTCTTTAATGATGTATAAGTCACTCGGACAAGAACAGAGTGAAGACGATAGTTGACATCTAGCGCATGCGAATTCTCTATGCGAAGGGATTTGTTCATATTCTAATAGTGATGAACAAGCATTTCGGCAACTAATTTGGCATGAATCATTTATTCCATTGTTCATGCAGCGTAAAAATGAATCCAGGTCTTCGTATTGCTTTTTACACGTTTTTATACATTTCATAAAACCACCACTGGATTCATAACAGTTGGAACAAGGTAAACTTCCAGATAGCTTAGATTCAGTATTGTCAGTGTTGTCGTTATCAATTGGTGGAAGACGTTCAACAAATATAGAGACATTCTGGTTTGTCATATCAACAAAAACTCCGAAAGAATCGGTATTATATGTTGGTTGGGAAAAAGGCTCTACGTCAGCGTGATGCAAAAACCGACAAAATCCAGAGCACCTCATTCTTGAAGGAATAATACCTCTACAGTAAAATGGAGCCATGTGATAACAGTATGGAAAATTAGATTCATAGCAGTTTATATGAGGATCCCAAACCTCATGTTGTGGAGTGGTACATGCGTGCTGTCTAAAAGGAGTTTTGAAACTTATACTAGAACAACAACAACAGCAACAGCTTTGCTGACATTGGTAATTTCGACATAAATCATCAGAATCCATGCTTTCAGGAAATAAACAGGGAAGAAAAGCCGTTGCATTGGTACCATATTTTAAATTCTGAATAGGACGTTTAAAATGTATCCGGGGGGCATTGTGAGACCCGCATGCGATACGAGGGCTATCCGAAAGCAAATGACCGACATGCTGGGAACTTATTTCATCGGTTTCTGAAGATGTTGAGTTTTGGCGTCTTGGCGGAATTGACAAGTTGTCGTTTAATAATGGGGGATGTATTGATGAATTGGCTGATACTAATGCATAAGAACGGTGTTTTGATAATTCCTGGTTAGAATTCGGAGTAGAAAAAGACCTTTCACTTTTGTGCTGAGCGGTCATATTTTTGGTGTTATTTTCAGTAATACTGAAAGGAACGTGTGCAGATTTGTTAGTATGAATACAGAGCGTGCAACTATTTACATTCGAGGAATACTCCGGATGAATTATACAAGGCACATAGGGAATAAAATGTGACTTATTGACTAAATACCGAAACCAATACTTCTTCATAACAAACTCATATATCGATTTTGTTTCAGAAGAACTGTATATGCTATCAGTTACTATTACCGGGAGATATGCAGCATGGAGTGGAACTACGGATTGGTGCAGTATATTTGAAAGAGTTTTGGAAAAATTGATGAGAAAATGAAGAGAATTTTCACCTTTCGAATTTTCAGATAGAGTAAATTGTAAGCGGAGTTGACGAATAATCAGCTTGTATATCTTCTGATTACCATTTCCAGGGTCTTTATTAAAAATTGTCACTAGAGGAAATTCCGATAAACTTGCTAAAGGTTGGAATATATCACTGTTACTACACAATTCTGACAAAACACCCGCGAAAAGCAAATACAGACGTGTTAAACAGACTCCTTTGAAGATTATGGGTACATATAGCAATGACCAATAGCTGTGTAGTAAGTGAAAAAGGTAAGTGGCGTGAGAAACTGTAACTCCACAAACAAATTTATATGTAGCTGAATAACTTGATATTCCTTTATACTGTATAATGTTTGAAATAGTTTGATAATGAGGTGAGGTTTGAACATCACATTCAGAGAGCATGTGTTGACTCTTTTTTGAAACACAATCACTAATGAAAGTTGAAATCCTACCAAGAAAGCCTAAAATCATTAAGTTACAACTTCCTGATGTGATGAAGAATTCATTGATTTTAGAAAAATTTCTTTATCCATCCAGTTTGTGTCTCCGGAACATGAATATAGGTAAAATCTTAATTGAGTATAAAGAAAATGTTCGCAAAGTTTTGATACAATACACAGGATATAGCAGCAACTAATTCTTTGAATAAAAATTTAACATGACAATACGAATAAATCCATCCTTCATTGACTGTGTGAATACATTTAATCAGTCTCATTCATAAGTAAACTGGAGAAATAATGGTCACATTAACAGGTTCTGTACTCTTGACTAAAACAGACTTAAGTGGTTATGAGGATAGCATACTACTACTACTACTAGGCAGTCACGTTATGCGATACAGAAATCAATGAGAACTATCGATATTCTCTACATAAAAACAAAGCTCCTATATATAAAGATAGGAGGCGAAACTACGCATATATGTTTGTTCTTCGATCATGCCTAACATGTGTGTCTGTTTCAAAGGCGAAAATACACCAATCAAAGTGGTTGAAAGAATCTGGGACAAAACGACGATATCCAACCAGAAAAAGAAAGTGAAAACAGACAACATTTGGGTCGCCTAAATCCACGTTCTCAAAATATCATCCGATGGCATATGATAGATAAAAATGAATGAGAGCAATGCCTGATGATTTTTACAGAGTAGTGAGAAATTTTTAACTCCCTGGGAGATTTTTTAGTGTGTCGTGTGAAGTTATAATGAAGAAAAAAAATGTCGATGTATTTTCTTTAAAATTTCTATTATAAATTAGTGTCCTGAAAAATAAAAGACGTAATAATTCAGAGAAAAAGCCTAATCCACAAATAATATTCAGAAAAGTAATTTAAATTCTTTATTATTAACACCAAATGAAAAAGCACTGGAAGCATGGAAGCAATGAACATTGACTAAAATTATAAAGACCACTAACTCGTCAGTTGTGTTTAGCGTGACAAACACACACATAGTCCTGGAAACTGTAGAGAAGTTAAAAAAACAAACGACCAACCAAATGCTGAAAGATCTGCGATATTTTCATCATTCGAGTGGTAACTAACTAATCAATTTGTATGCATGAATTCGGCAAGATAGCCGTATGTCATATAATTTCGGGATTCGTCTACTGCTCATAATACCTTCTTCGAATATTCCCGAAATCGCCCACCTCCTATAAACGGACGGGCTAGAAAACTAGTGAACTAGATGAGGATAATTTCCCATATATAATTATTAAGTTTGAGAGCTTCTGTCTTATTTGCTGTCTTAGATTTTTCCGGCACTACTTAGGTTTTTTCTGCTGTATTACTGACATAGAATGGGATAAACAGAAGTTCATACATCGGTTTGAATGTGCGGGTTTTCTGGAAACACCAGCATTTAACTTCCTACTTTCTTACCTTAGCATGATATAATCTAACATTAGAGACTCCCCTATATGACTTTCAAATTCATAAGTGAATCGAATTGCCTCTATCTTTGAGGTGATGTGTTGGAAATAGCCACTTATATCCTGTATTTTAGCACTGTTAATTTGTCATCCACATACCTTTACCATACTTTGGGCATGGGGCTGAACTTTCCAACCGCCAAGTTTTCCCACCTATTCACAAGTATATCCTGCCACAGTCGGGGAAATTGGTGATCCCATGGCAACTATTTCACTTTGTTTGCATCTTTTTCCTTGAAATCCAAACACTGCAGAAGTTATACATGGCTGTACTCCTAGCATGATGCCTACTAGTTGTACTTTGGTTTTAGGTCATTCCTAACTGCCTCTATTGCCAAATTTATCGGTATTTGTATTTATAGACTGATGTCCAAAATAACCAATTTTTTTTCAACATCTAGTTTCAAATTATCTGATATATGTTTCAGTTCATAAGAATTATTGAGTCCAGATTTTGGAGGATTACTAATTGAATTTAATGCCATAGGTAAATGTTTACATTGTTCATAAGTAAGAGAGTTTCTAAAATCAACTATACGTCTAGTGGAATATCATGATCTATGAACTTTGACGACGCCCTGCATGCTACTGAGATTATTAGTTTTGGGCACCAAATTAAACCAATAGACTCACCCAGAAACGGCTTAATTCGGCGGATAAGATCCGATGTGGATTTCTTAGCTTTACTCATGACAGTATCTATTGTCTTTCTAATTTCTTTATACAGTCCTGTTTGTATGTGATTAAGAAACTTCTCCAAATAGTCCGAATTGTTTAGTCCTACATTCGAATATCCTTTTTCTCATCATCACTATCGAATACAGTCTAGAGTAGAATGACAGTCGGATCTCTATCTGAATTCCATTGACTTTGAAAAGGCCTTCGATAACCTTGACTGTGGAGTAATTTGGAGACGGCTTCAACACGACGCAGTGAGTGACCCAAACATTTATCAACCTCATTCAACAGCTATACGACGGCAGCACATATCGAGTGATTCACAGGGGAAAATTCACCTCAGTAAAGCCTTTGAGGTGTGGACAGGAGTAAGACAGGGCTGTTTACTATTGTAATAGAAATGAAACCTATATTATAATACTAATCAATGTATTATTTTCCCAACTTGCAGGAAGACACCCGGGAATCAACTGCCTGGACCAGGAGATACATGAGTTGTAGAACCTAAACATTAATGAAGTCCAGTAAAACCGTTATACCCTAAAACTGTACCCCCGCACTTTTTAAAAATCAATTTTGTGGAATAAACTCTCTCTTGCACAGTTCGCGTTCTGCTTTCATTATCTGTGTGCTTGCTGGTTGCCTGTTACATGATCACCAGTGGTACTCCTGATTGTGGTGGACTGGATCATGCTGGATACCGTGTGTGGGGAGCAAAAACACAGGTATATCTTCAACCCACAAGAAGACTCCAGAAGATCTCGACTTCGCCGATGACTCGTGTACAATGTCGCATAAACTCGAAGATGTGTAGGCAGAAACCAGCAAACTGACACAAGGAGCAGCAGCGCAGATGGGACTTCAAGTGAATATGGAAAAGACACAGATGAAGGAGGAAAGTAACAACAGCAATAAGAGACACTACAATCACTGTCGACGACAGAAGTTTGAGGGTCAACCCTCCCACTTATTTATCTGGACAGCAACTGTTCTAATGCAGAGGTGAGGGGTAAGGATGTCAGAGTCAATATCACAAAAGCGAAACAGACCTTCATTAATCAATTTATTTGAAATCAGCGTGGAAATATAATGCCAGAAGAGATTAGCGAAAGTGAAGTTACCAAGATCATATTTCCCAATAAATCTTTCGAAAGAAATGGAAATGGACAGATGTTGAGAAGACTTGACTGATATGACGCTCCATGCCCTCGAGTCGGAAACGACGAGTGAGCCGTCCGAGGGTGACATGGAGGAGATTGTGCGAGGAGGAAATAAGAGCTTATGAGGGAGCGTCAAGCCAGCTAAAAGTAGCACCGAAACCCGCAAACACACCTAAAAACAAAAGTATATCGGTTAAAGAATATTGTGAAGCCCATTCAACGAAGTTAGTTGGTTTACCTAATACCCTGCAATCAATGTGAGGTTAAAGTCATACGCCAAAGTGATAGTATGTGGTCAGTTAGATTATCGGAGCATGAAAACTTATCAAGATCTAGATTAGTTGATTCTAAGAAGATAAGAAACCTAGAAAATAGCAGATATATAACACTATACAACCATATGATAGGATGGGATGACAGTCTTAAAATTTAATATAACAGGATGGAGAGAGAGATTGATAACGGAAGATTTATTTAACGCATAAACTGAGAACATGTGCAGTAGGAATGATTCAACACCTATCCCAGATACCTGGAAAATCCCACTACCTCAACAGAGAATGAAATAGGAGAAAAAGACAGATAACGTTTGGAGAACGGGATGAAGGTGTTTTTTTCACATACTTGAAAAGGTCTCAGTTATTTACCACATTATGAAGTTGGGTTACTATGATAAAACTTTTCTGTTAGAAGTAAAACATCTTTGATCTTCGTAACCAATTCACCTGACTAATACACGAAGTTGATTATCGATTTTACTAAATTACTGTGGACCACTGCATAAAACGAATGAATACTTGTCATTTCTGCATGTAACTGCATTTTAATGAGCGTTGGTGTTGCCGTATACCGACTCAGTAATATTAACAACAAGAAATTGCAAGGGCATTTAAAACATAAATTCATCTCTTTCCAAATGATGGAAAATTAGTTTTCAAGTATTGGTTTGTAAGGATTTGATTGATTGCTTACAGGATTTCATCATAAGCTGACATCAGTTAGAGAGCCATTGGAAAGCCGGCTGGGAGTACTGGACAGCTATTTCGTCCTCGTTTAGGACTCTTCATCTGTACACAGTTTTCGGCGAAGACATTCGCTAGTGGTCGCGCTATGTAGCGAATTGACAGAAGTTGGAATTCATGGACTGGCCATTGGATCGGATTCCAGTGGCTTAATGGTCTACGAGCTCACTAGCCTTGTAACCAGAAGGTCCTGGGTTCGAGCCCAATGTGGCGGGTGCGTACTGAGAAGAGTCCCAAACTAGGATGAAACAGCTGTCCAGTACTCCCTAGTTTTCAATGGTTCTCTAACTGATATCAGTCCGTGATCAACTCGTAAAACATAACTAATCCTTACAAACCAAACTATAGAAAATTAATTGTTATGACCACCAATTAAGATCAGGTCACAAAGTATGGGCTCTTAAAATACATGAAGAAATCACAAAATGTACCACATCACTTACTGTAAAGGTAGAAGTAATCCATGTAGTAGCGAATCATTCGTCGAATGTTGGAGTCTGAACCATCACCGTACATTGAACTAACCTCTGCGCTCAACGGATTGTCATTCAAGTCTAAATTTAAATAATGTACAAGATCACATTACTGTTAAAACACAAACTTCGTACATTATCAGCAATGAGAGATGCACCACACAAAGTCTTATAGTTTTTGTAACGGCCAGGATACCGCCCGGACATCCAGACCGAAGCAAATGGTTGTCTTCGACTAGAAGTCTGATCCACAAGGCAGTGTGGCAGCATCAGGAGCTACGCTCCGTGGTTGCCATTGACCAAAACAGGCTCATACACCATTCGATCCTTTCGGACTCTGGAGCCCATGTACACTACAGGTTTGGAATCAGGGCTTCCTAGCTCATTTAGGTAGACCAGAATGTCCACCAGTCCAGTCGGAAGTGAAAGACTTTCGTACTCACCCTTTCACTTTTGTGAGGAACACTCCGCCGCGTGATGAAAGTGAACCGGACTTACCTGGCAGATGATAGGAACACAAATTACACTGCCGAAGCAATATATATCACTAGCACGAAACTGCTGACACTCCAAATTTGAGTTACTAGCCAGACTTGAGATAATAAATATAACTGATTAATCGAGACAGAGGGAAATGAAAATGGAAATATTTTTCAACAACTGCTTGCATTTTCATGCAGTTAACAGTGAACTCCACACCCATTGTGTAGGCCGATGATACTGCTTAGCTGCCTAAACTTCTGTAGATGGGACAGCGTTTGTGACCCTGTGGTTGGAAGTCAAGCGCTCACACCTTGGAGCTTTTGAGCTATATTAAGGCAAAAAATGACACATCAGTTAGGACTTATAACACTAAAAATTCCTCTTAACTCTGAAGAAACTCAAATACAGTTTCACTGTCGATGGTACTTTAGCTAAGTTATTAACAAGGACAGAAAAATAGGCTAATAGAATTTATTTACTTGAAAAATGTACATACTTCTTGTGTAGAATGAAATGATTCGGAAGTATAACACAACGTAAGCCACCTAAATCAATGAAGAGCCATAGTTTCAACTTCATTTATCACAAGATTACACTTCACTGTACGATGATGCGTACAAAAATCTGTGGTCTTTAGATATCTAATTATTGTGGAAAACAGGATAACAAAAATAGATGCGCAATAAGTGAAGGCATCACTTAATGGATGGTTAGATATCTTCGATGAGACGAAATCTTTATATGAAATAAACTTTAGCTTCAGAACAAACGAAATATTTCATGTGACAAGGACACGAATTACAAACACTTGACAACAAGTGGAGTAAATCTTTAACGACTGAAGTGGCTAAGATTTGTTGAACCTGCTAATCAGGCTTAATCAGCCAAAAGTACGACATCAACCTAGGAAGTCACTGGCCGTTGTCGTGGGTTACTAAAGGACATGCGAATTATGAGGAAAGGATTCTGAGGATCTCAGAACGGTAAAATTCAGTAGTTAGAGACTGTTAGTAACACGGCTAAAAACCGATCACAATGGTGCCTAAGTATTCACCCTGCAGATTCCGAAAATTACTATCAGTTTCTGAATTACTCGTCCACATATACTCACATTTCAGCCCTCTTTTTATGAAATTACGGCAACTTTAAATGACGCTTTTCCGCCCAAAATCCCACGATGATCCGTCGGCTAATCGGTCACATTAGTTATATGAAATTGTGGATCAATAACCGTCTACTTCATTCAACAGTGATGGGAATGCTGTTATTTTACAGTTTAAAAGGAAAAGAACCTCGATCTTAGTTGTGTTGACAGTGACAACCAGGACGTAGTCATTCTCACCTACGGTACACAGACACATAAGATACACAATCACAAGCGAAAAACAACAAAACGGCCGGGAACATAGTGGTTTTAAACCTCATAGTGCGTCTGTCTGGTGTTCAGTTTGTATCAGATTTTGAAACATGCAGACAGTAGTAATATTTATCCTGAAGACAGATGATTTCGTCAGAGAGTTTTCATGAATCGACTTCCTTGCAGAAAATCAGTTAACACAATCAACAAGTTGCACTTTCTTGTGCACATTAAGGAATAATCACAGATTATCTGAAATGTGTTTCTTCCCCTCCCCCCCCCCCCCCTGAGTGTCTATTTTTACTCAAGGACTATGCTTATGAGCAATGAATTATACTCGAAATGTCATGTAGTTATTAATATTGTATCAGTGCATGTTATGTAAAATCAATTTATCTGATGTGGAATTATATTCTGCCACAGTGCCAAAATTACTTCAGGAATAATCTGGACCAACACCATGTGACTACAGAAAATAAAACAAAGGCACCAACCATTCTACTTACGTGAAAACTTGCACCAGCCAGGGTTCACTAAATGCTAGTAAAATCTTATCAAGGATACAGAAAGCTCGCCCGTCTTTAGCCCACTTGTATCAGTTATGAAGTTAGGAAAGCACCCAGATGCCATAAAAGGATCAAGCATACTTCTAATTAGTACACTCTACCTAGCTGTATGTTTGGGAAATGTGGCATTTAAAGCCAGAGAACCTAAAGAGACTTGAAGTGTTTTACCATCATTGGCATGTAAATATTGCTCGCGTTTGGTGGATTCATTGAATAAACGATGTAGAAGACAGGTGTAATGCCTATCGCTTAACGGGTCTGGGCCATACATTTTATATGCTTACTCATCATCTTCAATATTCTGTGTTAACGAAGTTGCATTAACTTATCGACAAAAGACAGCTGTAAACTAACCATCATATCGCAAGACCACCTGTTGAGGAATAAATAAGCAACGTATTTGAATCAGTATATTAACAAGGACCGAGGAAAATTTAATATCCGGAAGTATAATTTTCAGCCAAATCATAACCTAGAAATTACCTAAGTTGTGCAAATCTTTAGCACATAAATATAACATAGTATATGATCATAGCCCCATAAATTCTCACAAGTATGACTTTCTTTTGAGACTCACTAGATACTTTGTGGAAACGATACCAAAATGAGAAAAACCGCAAACTATAAATGATGCTTTTGGAAGATAACTTTAATTTACAATTTATTCCGATAAACATTATGAAACCACCCCAAAATTACCTCTAGCTATTACTTTTTAATGTCGCTCCTCCACAAAAAAGTGAGACTGGCATATTCCTCGAAAAGCCAAAATTTAAGCAGTAGTTACATTCATATTTGATCTAACAGAACGCCACATATTGAGTAGTGAATAACAAGCTTCGTATCAAAGTGTCTAGGCCTCTTTATTAGGAGACACTTAAAAGGGATTAAAATTAGCCAAATACCTAATCAACGCAAAAGTAAAAACATTAGGAGTATGTGAGAGGATTTAATGAATATTTGTCAACATGTTCTAATACTTACTGAAATGGCGTAAATTAAGAAGCCTGCCTATATCAGATGGTAAATCGACTATTTTGTTGTCATTCAGGATAAGTGCGCGTAGTTCTGTGAGATCACCAATAGTCGATGGGAGGGAATGAAGTCTGTTACAACTGGCATCCAAATTCACAAGATTCACTAGGTTCCCAAGCTCTGAAGGCAACCGTTCCAAATTGTTATTTTTTATAACCAGTGTTGTTATGTATGTTAACTGGCACAGATTTCCAGAAAAGTTTTTTACAGGACCTGAAGTTAATGAAATGCATTATAATTACACCAATCCCAGAAATAGAATTTAAAATATTTATTCAAACTCCACTCTTTGTAGATCCTGAATTAATTGGTTATAATGATAAAACTGCTGATTATTGACTGCTGCCACTTTTGATAAACACAAAATAATGCCAGGCACAATTTATCAATTTCCATGAGATTCATATATTATCAACTGTTGTAATGAAAGTATAATTCGAATAATATATGCTTATATTGTGTCTGGGCACGTACCGAGACTATGTACACTCAATAGACAATGGTATTTTTGTGAATTCCAAAATACTGCTGAAACTAAAACGTAAATGAATGATATGAAGTTTAAGTCAAGCTGATAATTAGTACGATTACAAATAAATTTTGTTACTAGGAGTCCGGAAACATTAATGAATTGAAACCAGATTAGATGAAATAAGTTCCCTAAAACGAGGCTTCGCTTACAACACATCCAGCATTCGTCAGTGACTGAATATTTTTATGTTCAATGAACTACAAACTGCTAACATGAACGTTGAACTACACGAAAATACAGTAACTGGACTTTTCTGTGGTACAGTAAATTGTTATCCACGAAAATCAAATTGAGTATCCATTATCTTTTAGTATTCAGTCCATACAGAACAAATCAAAGTAAATGTCCTCATACACTCTTTAATTATTACCTGAGACTGATAAGCAACCCTGCTTATTTCCTTCCTTAAATGTGCTTCCCACAAATACTTACTTACTTACTTTACTTCGGCTATCTCCTACGGGAGGATGAGCCGGCTTCATGAACATCTAGAATCATCGCTGCCCAGGCGCGGCGATCTGATGCAAGGTTTTGCGACAGGGTTATCCAATTCTTGTTCCATAGACGGTTTGTAGCCCCAGGCACTCCATATCAGGTAAGAGAGTTCATGAAGTTTCATAGGAATTTGGTACGAGTGATGTCCCCAGAATCGCTCGGCCTTTTGCTTGAGAGTGCAGCTCTAGCCTTTACACAACCAAGTGTGACCTACAAGGCAGTAGGAGTGGAGTAGGGAGTCCACTATCCATTGGCAGCCGGTGACCGGAGTTCGGTTCATACGCCTTTTTGAATGGGGTCAGACATCCAGGAAATCCAACAAGCCCTTTGTCCATACGTCTGCCGGTGAGCTCCAGTGAGCTTCATACGCCAGTCGTTGGAGGTTTGGAATCAGGGTTTAGCCATCTCCCCTAGACTGTCATCCAATGGACAGTCAACCCAGTGAAGAGCGCCGGGCATCCGCTTTCGCCCTCTCACTTTGGTGAAAAACACCTCCGCCACGTGAAGGCAGTGAGTAGGACTTCCTCAGGAGAGGCTATGTAAGACGCCCGGTCATATGGGAGCATTTCAAGAGGTGTGCGGAGGGGTGGCCAACCCGCAGCGCAAGGCACCCACCCCCGACCATCCTGAGGCTTTGGAGGCAAATACTCTGACATTATTCTCAGAATACACAAGTAGATGGCCACGTGGCACTCAATATATTATTTACCTTTTGTTTTTATTGCCCAACTTTAGCTGAGGTAAACGACATTCAGTTGTGCTTTAATACACGCTTGATTACTAAGTTAACCTATCGTTAAGCTGATTTAACGTAAATGGCTGCATAAAACCACTCAGATCGACTATTAGTCAGTGATATTCATTGTTATGAAGTGATATCTACCGAAATTTACCATTCATATTTTAAATGTATCAATCAATGGGAGTATTACATGAATGTCACATATCAACTTGATATGATTATGACCAATAAGTTGTACTCGAAGCGTCATCAGTAAATATTACTGTATAGCATGAAACAAGAAACTTGGAATTAACAACTGATGAGGTTGACATGATAACCGGGATCATAAAAACGTAGCCTCAATTTCGAGGTATTTAAATCATCAACTGGTAGGTATCACACAAAAAAACTTATCACAAGTGCATTTTAAAGCAAATAATTACCTGTTAAATTCAATCGAAACCAGTCACTTTTTTTACCAATCTTGTTTTCGTCATCAGTCATCAGTCTGCTTTGCATAGTTAATTCATTTAAACAGTTATGACGTCTTGAACCATATTCATGTTGCTGTATCATCTGAGAGTTATATTCAGAAAAAAATTATGGGATTGAGCGATGACCAGCAGTAAGTTATCACATAATTTCCATCTACAAAAACTACGTAATATGGTAACATGATGTCATCCATATAAAAATCCAACTTTCACACCAGCTGAAATTAATTAGATAATTTAATACCATTACCACAATCTATTCAATTAAATAACGCTTGGGCTCAGTTGACAAGCTCAAACCATAAACATCTTATACTAAAGTAGTCACTGAAAATGTGACTGACTTATCAATGTGAACTTCATTTTGCTGGCAACAGTAAGCTTATTTTATGTTTCACTGCTTTTTCTATGATGCACTTTGGTCTGACATACCGCACAGTATTACGGTACACGCTACTGAATTTGTGAAGACAGTTTGATTTGTAACGGGAAACAAAACTACGTACCCAAAGGCTGCATTTTTCTTCAAAAAAGAACAATCTGATTCGAGTAACAATTGAATTGCACTACACTGTCGCCAGTAGTAAAGAAACAAGGTTGCAAAGACTATAGAACGCGTATCATTCGCGAAACTGTCTCAGTGAAGCAATTTACTGATACCCCAACATTCCGAAAACTACTCTTAGAATTACCGTGACGGCAAACTTTGTTTGATTATAATCGGGACTATAGTTACCACATAATACTCACTTTCTGTTATGAGCGATTCTTTCAGATATGAAATAAATTTCTGTTGAAGCTTATGCGCATGTGTATAGGAAATTTTAACACTGACGTGAGAATTAAAGTAAAACTTTTTAATACAGTAATGTACATAAAAACTTCAGATGTATGGTAAAACCAGGAACAATACATCTAGAAAATGAGTTCAGTTAAACAGAATTGTGATTGTTTTCTAAACCACTGATCATCATGTAAGCCAAAAGACTTACTTGAACACCTCCCTTGACATTAAGTCCTGTGAACTATATGAGGACTACACTTCCCATAATATAAGTTGAATAAACCTAGTTCTTTTAAAACCACTAAGTATATTACTCCTATATTATGATTTAGTTGATTTCGTTACGTTTTCAACGAGATTAGAGTCCATTTCCCGAAAGAAAGCTCTGAGACTTACACAGTAAATAAACCATCACACAAGTTTTAAACGGCAACTCGTAGATTTAAAAAAATACAAATAGTGAAACTGACCTTCATAGCCCCAGATGCAAAATTACCGCCTTTTGTTTTTGTCCTTCACAATAACATCATCTAGAATAATTTAAGGTGATACAGATAGTCACGAGAACAGTTGTGAGGAATAAAATCCAGGCAACAAGATGAAGCCAATAAAGAGGTGTGCGCTTAGAACACAGTAAGTATGCA